GTAAAAAAAAGTTAGAGGAGCTCTGGCCAGTGTGGTTCAGTTGGTTGAGAATCATCCCATGCACAGAAAGGTCACCAGTTCGATTCCCAGTCAGGGCACATGCCCAGGTTGTAGGTTCCGTCCCCGGTCAGTGTGTGTTCGGAGGCAACCAATCAATGTTTCTCTCTCACAAAGATGTTTCTTTCTCTCTCTTCCTCTCTCTCAAATCAATAAAAAAATATATTTTTTTAAAGTCAGGGGAATCATGTTGCGGGCACATCCCCAGTAGGAGGTGTGCAGGAGGCAGCTGGTCGATGTTTCTCTCTCATCGATGTTTCTAACTCTCTATCCCTCTCCCTTCCTCTCTGTAAAAAAATCAATAAAATATATTTAAAAAAAAATAATAAAGTCAGGGGAATCACACTTTTACTGTAAATGAGTGTGACTCCCAACACTGCTGTTTACTGTCTCTTCCCGTAAGTACTGTATTTTCTTTCCTTTCCCCTGCCCTTAGAGAGCAGAGAGATATAATTTATAGTTCTGAAACTACAGCTTATTTTGCTAACTATTGGCTTCAAGAATAAAGTTTCTCTCTACTTTTTATTCTTGGTTTATTTTGAGGATTAAATATTGAAGATTAAAAAAAAAGGCACAATTTTATTTTCCACACTCAATAGCAAACCCATGGGAAGTATCTTAGATTTTAGACCCTGTATCTTATTTTTCAAAACATTTCAGATTGCACATTTCCTAAGAACTGGCATATGCACTTTAGTACACAGACAAATGAAGTCCTGACTGTGTTTAAATTACTTAATTCCACTAACAGTCCTGTTTCCCTGCAACTTCACTGTTCTTGGACTTATTATACCATAATCCCTTAATCACAATCACAAAATGTCTATTTTGCCCTCTAGTAGCAAAGATCAACGAGCACAACCAGAGCCCAGACCTCAGTTTCTGATATCACTCTCCAATAAAAGGATCAAGGCTCCTTGGAGAAGTGGCAGACTTCAGGACTGAGCTAAGGCTAATACAAGATGAGCCTGGTAGGACCAAAAAGTAAGATGTCTCCCCCAAAACACCAGGATGAAGACATGTCGAAAAGGCACAAGAATCCAACCAAAATAACTCCTAGTAGCCAAAGCTGGAACAATTTGAGCAGCAAAATAAATATGGATAATATTGTAATATTGTAAAGATTATAATACAATATCGATTATTACAATATTGAAATGGTTATAATACAACTAGAGGCCCGATGCACGAAACTCGCCCTCACAGCCCCAGCCTCGTCCAGAAGGTCGTCCAGAAGGACGTCAGCTCTCTGGTCTAATTAGCATATTATGCTTTTATTATTATATTGATAATAACCTAAAGGATAAATACCTTTGCATCTATAACTAACTAGATAAATGATATAACTAAGTAGATAAATGGGAGAGAAGGGACAGTTCTTCCTTATAGAAGAATTCTAATTAATAAATGTACAAGAAATGAAGGAAACAGAAAATCACCTTAAGAACACCACAGTAATAATACCACAGGCAAATCCACCCTTGAGTGTTGAATTAGTAAGAGGTTGAAGGAGAAAAAAGGTATCTGCACAGTGTGGGGGAATAGATTAACCTTGCCCAAAGTGAGATTGGTCTTTACTCCAGATTCCTAGAATGAATCTCAAGGTCCTTGAATGTCCTGCCTGGAAAGTATGTTTACCTGGGGGCCCTGGGTCCCTCCATAGAGTCTAACAATATGACTTATAGTGGAGGCCTTGGGGCCCTGATGAATGGCTGGAGAATATGACTCAGGTGAACTGCCCTGGTTGGCAATACCCTGTGTGTTGTCACACAGTGGGTGAAGTAGCCCTGTCCACGACTCCAGGGAAAGGCTAACTGGAAGCTTCACTGTAGGAAATCCCCTGCATCCTGCCCTATTCCCTTGGCTGACTTTATTCTGTATCCTTTCACTGCAATAAACCATAACTGTGAGTTCTGAGTACTTATAGAAAATAACTGAACCTAAGAGTGGTCTTGGAGACCATCAAACTTGCAGTTGGGTATCAGAAGTGAGGGTGATCTTACAGACCCTTGAGATTTGCACACCATCTCAAAATATCTACCTCAAATATTTATTAATTAAAAAGGGAAAATAATAATTTCATAATGGGAAAATCTGGCAGACAATACCTTAATCCAGTGACCAAGGTTATCATAACCTGTAACAATATGTAATTACATGTACCTTGATACGATGCAATGAGAAGAACATCTCATTTTGGTTCCAAAGGTTCCATAATTTCAGTCAAATCAAAAAAAAAGCATTAGACAGACCCAATGGTGGGACATTTCAGACTAAGGGACCAACACTCTTCACAGGCACCATGAAAGTCAAAGAAGGGTTGAGGAACAGACACAGACAGGAAGCTAAGGCACTGTGACAACCAAATGCAACGTGGGATCCCGAACGGGATCCTGAAACAGAAAAGACACTGGTGGGAAACTGGTCAAATCCAAATAAAGCCTGCATTCTATGATCATGAGTTAGTAAATGTGCTGTCACTGTGGGAGAAGCTAATACAAGGGAGGCTGGGTAAAGAGTGCCACAAATGGAGGACACAAATAGGTGACAATACATAATATTGCCAACAAGGGAAGCATTTTTCTACAAACTAAAATTCTATCAAAATAAAATGTCATGCCCTAACCAATTTGGCTCAATGGATAGAGCGTCGGCCTGCGGACTGAAGGGTCCCAGGTTCGATTCCGGTCAAGGGCATGTACCTGGGTTGCGGGCACATACCCAGTGGGGAGTGTGCAGGAGGTAGCTGATCAATGTTTCTCTCTCATCAATGTTTCTAACTCTCTATCCCTCTCCCTTCCTCTCTGTAAAAAAATCAATAAAATATATTTTTTTTAAAAAAACAAAATAAAATGTCAGAAGAAATAAACACAGTCCCAAGGGTTTTGGAAAAGGGAATGTGGGCCCATATTTACATTCCTCCATCACAAGAGTGCTTTGCAATGACGGTATGTAGGTGGCAAAATGTGAGCTTTTGAACTTAAAGAAAATTCTTCTACTATCTTCACATATGAAGGCTGAATACTTGACAGGTCCCATAAAAGTCTATAGAATGTTTAAAGCACTTTGACCACTATTATAAGATGCTAAGAAACCAGCTCATTATTTTGAAAACTGATAAACAGAAATATTTAGACATTTATCCTGACTTTCCTGTATGAACTGTATCAGGGTAAAAAACAAAACAAAAAACTGATGAGAAGTTGCTCTTTACAGAAGTATTCTAGCTAGTAATGAGAAAGGAAAGACAGAATATCATCTTTCTGCAACCTCTAATAGATCCAGTCACTGATCATCAACGACTACTAACACCACAGGACAGACCACCTGACATCAAGACCCCCTGGAAGAGCCCCCAACTGCAAGAGAGTTTCGCTAACCCCCAGCTTACCCCAAGAATCAAACTTCAACCAGATCAAGCCTACTGGTGTAATTACTAATTTATAGGAAACATAGAAGACAGGAACCTGTTAAACTATACTATACTGAATACAATCAGCAAACTCCACACTGGCCAAATTCTTCAACAAATACACAGGAGAGAGATAAAAGAAGAAACCTATAAAAGAAACTTAAGACATGTCAATCCACAATAACATATGAGCCTTATTTAGATTCTGATTCAAACAGTTATAAAAACATTTATGGGATTTGAGACAAAAGTTGAATACTTGCTAGATATTGATGTTAAGGAAATAGTGTTAATTTTTAATGAAGCGATGATAGTATGATTAATATGTAGCTATTTTTATTCAGTGTCCCTGAAAAAATATAAAAGATAATGCTGAAATATTTTTTTAAAAATATAAAACCACATGTATAATGCTGCTTCAAAACAATGCAATGGATATAACATGTATTATATTCCTAAATGTTCATAGTATTTTTTTTTCCCTTCAAGCTGAGATTACCTATCAGGTTAAATAAATTAGTATTTGGTTTTCTTCATCAACTTTGCCTAATTATGTGCTGAACTCTTTCATTCTATAGATCACCACCACCACACTTTCTTTTATTATTATCTCTAAAAAGTCCTATTTGGGTACTTTGTGAACTATATGGTAACCTTCCTCAGTCACAATAAACACTGATATATACAACATTCCTTATAGGACAATATTTGCTTTAAGAGAACTGATCAAAAGAAAACAGGGAGTTGTTATTATTTTAAAGAAAAAGCCCTATGTTAATAAGTACAGAAAGACATAAAATTATATTGCTAATCCTACATACCTCCTGACATTTTATAAATACATTTTAGATAAATATAAAAGACAAATTAAATATATAAAATAATAATATTAAGAAGAATTCACTGTTACCTTTACAAAAGAATTTACCACAGTTTCCTTTAAGCACTACATCCCACTATTCCACTTTCAGGATAGATGGACAAATAGGCACATGAGGCCACAAACTAGCAAGCAGGTCTTGTTGGATCCACTTAGTGTTATTTAAAAATTCAAAAAGTTGCTGACATTTTAAAATTAAATTTCAACATAACTTTGAACTGGGTGCCCTTAATGCCTCATGCCACCCAGGGACTGTCTCTGTGGACAGCAGCAGCCGGTCCTCAGCATTTTCTTAACGCTAAGCTCAAAGGCCAGCAGCCATTTAGCATCAGATTTCTACCTATATTTTTCTGACACCTGGTCTGCTTTGCTCTTTACTTTGCAGCCTACCTGGTAACAACCACTAATATTCACTCCGTTTTTTTAGGTAAATAAAATATGTCCACACTGATGCTGAGAATTTTGCTAGGAACTTTTTTTTCCTTAAATTCACATAAAAACTAAGGAGTTGATGAAAGGGCATTTTGAGCATAAAAGGAACACAAAGAACATAGAAACACCCATTCTATGTGTTTCTTCTGTCCCTAATTCAGTCCCAAGGTAACACTCAGAACCCTCACTCCCCCAGCACTGCAGCACACACAGCCTCACCTGCATTGCTCCCAGTTCCTTTCTGCTTTTTTTTCTTGGCTAGTTGAATGGCTCGGGAATCAGTTCTTGCTGAGCCCCCACTTTCCTGAGATCAAAGAAATGTGTGTCAGTCACTTGACCCAAACAGCAAAGGGAGGGTAGCAAAGGAACTAGTGAGATGTAATAAGTCTGCTTCCTGAACAGAGTGGAGTCCAATACTCTTTGAGAATCTCCAGCAAAGGCTCACCAAGAATCAAATGCTACATCCAATTGTAATGACAGCTACACAAAATCAGAGTTGGAACAATATACATAATTTTATTATCCAGAGAAGCCACATTTATTCCTCCAAAGTCTAAAATACTAAAATATTTTACACAGAAACTCTTTTAAAAAAATGAATTACATACTTCTCTGCTGTCTGAAACAAATAACCACCCTTCCTTCGGTGATAATTTACTGCAGCATTAATTCACTCCAACATTGTTCAGAGCCTGCCACACAATACTTGTATGGCAGACCTGGGGAGGTCCTATCTCATATACCCACTGCAGAGGCCGCTCTGGCGGCAGGTGCTTAACTCAAAACCTTACATACCAAAATAATAATTAGTTACTGAATTCAGGAAGATTACTGAGGGAGCCAAATAGTATTTAAATGGGACTTCAACTGTTGTAAATTTGTGAATGTTTTTATAAGAAAAAGTTTGTACTTATCACTACAAAAAGAAAAAGAACACCCCTAAACAGCTCATGGCATACCTGTAACCCATTCACCACACACCATCTGTGCTCAGAGAATCGAGGCAGCCCGTCACTCAGCTAGCAAGAAAATGAACAAGGGTCAGGATCATGGTCATGGTGGCTCCTCCTACCTCCACCCACAGTTACTCAGGTAGTGACTCCCCACGCCATCTCCCTTTCTGGCCCAGGCACCTGCACACCTGGCAACTGCTGCAGCCACCAAAGCAGAGGTTAGCACATGTGGCTATGCTCCCACAACAAGTGAGACACCAGAAGAGGCTTGAGACAGAGCTGCTCTCAGACTCAGACATAAAAAAGCTGGCTCTATGGTATATAAGTTAATCACGTCCCTCAAAATTGATCCTAATTCAAAGGATTAAACATTTTTTTTAAATGTGGTAAAATAAGATTTAACATTTTGAACAATATCACCGTCAAATTTAACCTGTGTCACAGAGAAAAAACCTATTTGATCATTCCCATCTGAGCCTGAGGAAAGTCAGATTCAAAGAATCTTTAAATTATTTTTTAAACTAAATTGTTAAATGTATACCTGACAAATATAATTAAAGTATATTCACTGTCAAGCTTCAATACTGTAGGACTACTCCCAACTTTCCAGAAACAAAGGTTCACAAACCACTCCCTTTTCCCCCCTTAATTCTAGTGTTGTTGTTTTTTAATTGTTTTGAGTGATTTTTAAGTTTTCATTAAAATTTTAAAGACAGCTGATGTCATGATTCCTCTTCCTCTAGTTATGAGTAAGTCTAAGGACTTGTTTTATGTGAAAAGCACAAAGGCAGGATATTTCAACACTATGAAACACTCCCAATTTTTTCAAGAAAAGAAACACATTATCACATAACGAACTCAAAAGGACTTAGAAATCATCTAACCAATCCCCCTCATTTTAGAACTGAGAATTTAAGGCTCAGACAGGTCAAGTGATTTGCTCAAGATCGTAAAAACGAAATCAGTTCAGACTCAGGATCAGAATTCAGATTTCCAAACTTGTAGTCCAGGGCTCCATCCTTTCGCAAAGAGTAAGAAATGTCTACACATAAATAATTCATCCAGAACATCCTCAAAATTGAGTGTTTAAGAGAAGTAAGCTAGGTGGTAGTGACTGAAGATAGCACTTCATATCAAAGAGAAGTTGCCAGTCCCTGCACTGAGGCATGTGTCTTTCTGAGGACTGTGCCTTTCTGGAAGGCTGGAAAACACAGGCCAAGGTACCTCTCTGTTTCGTTCTTGCTGCCTGACAGCACCAGGGCCAGGAGGCGAGTCTGGTTCCACTTTGATTGAAGTCAGCAGTTCTGGGACACTGGTGTCTCCTGGTGGGGTGCTTGAAGAGGTCAGTGTGGTGGTGTTCGCTGGTAAACTGCTGGAGGTCAAAGCCTGTGGGTCCTGACCCAAGTTCTTCACAGGCAGAGCTACCAGACAGCCTAATGATCCTGCACTTACAGTCTGCACATCATCCATAGTGAAATTGCTTTGCTGAAGAACTGTGGCTGCTGTCCCGAGAACAAGAGGGCTGTCCAGGCTGGGAGGAATGTCACTGTGGGCCACCAAGACCATCGGCCCTAAGGAACTATTATTAGGGAGGTTCCCTCTGAGAGAGGAGCTCACAGAAGTCACATCAATAGTCAGGATTCCAGAGGTCAGCGCCTCGTCCGAGGCCCCTGCTGCACTACTCCCATCAGCAGGTGCATCAGAGAAGAGCGCGGCCAGGTCAATGTTGTTGAGCTCATTTTGGCCTGGGCTGCTTAGTTCACTGCTGGGTGTAAGAGAACTTGGAGCTCCTAGCTGAGGGAAGAGATCTGAAAAGGAATGAACGCACTAGTTACTACATGCCCTTAAAGATTAAGAAGTTTTATTTGTACTCAAGATGTTAAGCAACCCATTAAAGGCACCATCTACTGCCTTCTTCCTGCCCCTACTGCGTGGCACATCGAAAGTGGCCACATGCTGAACGAAGGCAGCATGATGACATGTCAGGCATTTTACATATGTTGTCTCAAATCCTCAAACTGACAGGGATTTCTCCAGACAGAGGAAGTGACTCGAGTCTAAATAACATTTTCTGAAGTCACATTAATTGGTAACAGGACTTGAACCATGTTATTCTGGCTTTAAATCCTGTACTCCTCCTGCTATACCACAATAACTACACCTGAAAAGATTAAAACTTTCCATGGCACACCAATCTTCAGAAGTCAGATACAAGGTGAATTCTGGTGCTGAGGATATTTTTGGAATCAGCTTGTATCAGCTCATTCCTCTTCAAACTCTATGCCTCACTCATCAACTAGCTGCCAATCCAAAACAAATTTGAGTCATCTGGGGGTGATCAGTGGTGAAAAATTGGGTCTGTGGGACCCAGCTCTAGGGAACTGCAGAGAACTGAGATTAGGTCCCCCAGGCACTCTGGAGGTGAATCCCTTCCCCTTCCACCATTGTATTCCCAACCTCTAATACTCTTCCACCCACCCCTGCTATGATCATTTTGAGGGTGCAGAGTCTGTCTGACCAACTTTGTCCCTCAACACTAGGCACAGTGCCTAGCCCTTAAGCAGCATTTAATAACTATAGTACAAACAATTCCAGTAGATCCCTCTTCATTTTGTCTTATGTACTGGGACAATACTATAATTATTTATTTGTTATCCAATTAAGTAACTTAAATGATCAGAACACCCTTGGGGGAATAATGAACATTACCATAGTTTTAAAAAATTTCAATGAATATTCAAGTTGGGGGTTTATACACAAGTGCACCCAATCATCCCAAATCCGAAAACAAGCAAGGACCTGATGTTACCCTTTCTTAAGAAATTCCTACCTGCAGCTTCTAGAATGTGCCAGGGCTTAGCCAGAGGGAAAAGGCTCTCAGTTCCTGGCTCTATTCCTTCCACACCAACCATTAAGCCAATCCCAAACTCATACTTTCTGGTTGTGGACACCACATCAGCGTGCCTATTATATTTTTCATGCAAATCTATGAAAGAATCTACTCTAGACGTCTGCCCCCAAAATAAATTTTAAAATAATCAAATTTAGAATATACTTTCTTTAGTTGTCATATTACTTCATAGTTTAAAAATAGGATCAATATATTATTGCGTCTTCATTAATTATCTCTTAGTACTAATGAAACATTTGAAAGAAAATGATAGTGATTCTTTGGAGAAATTAAAATAAAAACTTGTCTGTCTCAAAACTTTCCAAAAACTCCCTTGACAATCTTGAGGATTCAGCTCCCTATAAAACAATTAATAATAATCTGAGTGCAAACAGATACTAATTTGTTCATAAATTTCCTACTTAGCATTTTAGTAATTCCACATATATTTACTGGAGACCTGCTATGTGTAAGAGCCAGGTATTTAAAAAAATCACTAAATAAACATTAATTAATAGAACATCTAGCCTAAGGTTACAATCATGCCCTTGCTCCAGTCCTTCTTTGCCTATGTGACCCAGGCAAATCCTTCTCATTTCCACCTCAGCCTCTTTTGTCAGTGACAGAGTAATGCGGAACCCCCAATCCCAGGACCACTGTGAGGAGGAACTCAAACAGCTAATCCAGAGACTGCCATAGCCCCTGGCAAAGTCAGTCCCTAGTATATAGGCGTTCCAAAGCATCTATTTCTCACAAGGCGAGCACTAAACCAACACCTGGTCATCTACCCCTAACTTGTGACAGGGAATAATGACACACAAGTAAGTCAATGTCACATCATAAATGCGGTGTGGAAAAAAGGCACCACAGAAGCACCTGAGAGGTTCTCACACCCAAAGAAAGAAACTGCTGTTGCTGACTTTTGAATGAGCCAGGCTAGGAAAGGGGAAGGAGCAAAGAGGCTGGGCGCATGGTATCACAGAACACCAGCTCGGAGCTGGGCAGGTAGAGACAGAGGCAGGAACCTGTTCTATCACCGAGAGCCTCTGAACACCAGCATAAGGCACTTGACTAGCTTCTGTGAGCCAAGGAGACAATCTCTACCATGAGTCCTCAAGACACTTAGTGTCTAGAGGGGCAGCTTCTTTAAATACAAAGCTGAATAGCAATCACTGTTACAGCCAAAAAAGGGAAGAAATGACCACACTAAATAGGATTAAAAGAAGCCAAAGGACACAAATATTCACTGAACTAAACTACTCATCAAGCTCTGCTCTAGGCACTTTAACTCGACATTTCATTCTGAGAACCACTCAAATTCTGTGTTTAAAAGATGAGGAAACCAGGGCTGACAGACCTGTGCCCTGCTTAGGATCACACAGCTGGGAAGTTGGCTGCACCCCAAGGCTGGTGCTACCTGTCACACAGGTGACAATGAGCAGGGCCTGGTTAACAACATGCTCAGGTAACTCTATGGCTAGCCAGGATTTCACTGGCCAGGACCTGCCAGGCACAGCAACCCCTCCATGCCCCAGAGAGCAGGGTGATGTGAGCAGGGGAGGCAGCCATGTAGCAACCCAGACCCCTCAAAATCCTAACTGTAGGACTGTGCATGTGGCCTCAAGAGGCAGGATTCTAAGTTCCATGCCACCATGTAGCCAGATGAACAAGCCCTTGTGTGCCCAGACTCCCCCTCTGGAGAACTGTCATGGTTCCCTCTCAGCCCTCACACCCCTGCCCCAGCCACATCCTGAAACACAATTCTGTTCTTGTTTTCAAGGACTTTCCTCAGCAGTAGGATGGAGAAGAAACATAGAGTGTGCTCAGAAAGATAGGACTTAGAAAAAAGATCCAAAGACAGAAATGGTGGAGAAGCAGGCTTAGAACTTAGGACAGAGATCACAGGGGGATACAGATTTACGAGACATGTGCAGGAAAAGCCAACAACATGGAATACTGAACACTCTTCAAGGTAAGCACTTCAGACAAGGATTAGTGAGGCAGAAGCAAGTGGCAGCAGAATCCAACGAGGCCACTAGGCTTGGCAGCCATGCTCCCTGCGCTGGTAAGACCTCACTGCACTATAGAGTAACTTAACCTAGGACTCAGCCAACTTCTGAAAGGAGCTAAGGAAGGAATGACACCCTTTTGCTTCTCTGACACAGGTCAAGCTTACACATCTTTGTAGCTCCCTAAGAAGGTCATAAATCAAGCCGACCTGAGTGCCGGCTGTGCTGCCTGACCACATGTGCCTTCATACTGTGCTTGGAGGTGAAGAGTCTATTACAGCTGGACACCGGGCAACGGCTTTTTGGAGCAACCACGTCTTGCAGGTGTTTCTTGGAGTGAATGTAGAGACTGCTACGAGCGGAGAACCTGGCACAGCACCCTGGAACAAAACGAATGATAAGTGTTAAACCTATAGATTATCAAGGAATCAATGCTGACATTTCCTCATCATCTATATATATAAAAGCCTAAGCAACTGGTCGCTATGACACGCACTGACCACCAGGGGGCAGTTGCTCAATGCAGGGGTTGTCCCCTGGTGGTCAGTGCGCTCCCACAGCCAACCTCCCCTGGTCCCTCCCCTCCTCCCTCCAGCTGGCCCCCATCAGCCCTGATCAGGACTGGACTGGGCGAGACAGCCCCTATGGGCCCTGAGGCCAAAGGACCCCACCCATACATGAATTTGTGCACTGGGCCTCTGGTATCAGAATAATAAGACAATGCATGCCCATGTTTTGGCCACTAACAAGGGACATACACTGAATACCTATTGGAGCAGCATCATAAGAAATTAAATTTGAAAGCAAACTCTGTTTTAAAAAGGAGATTTGAAGTTCCACATCATTTGTGTGCAAGATGTGTGACCCTGAACAAGTTAACTCTGATCCTGTTTCTTTACCCATTACACAGGGCTGCTGGAAATATTAAGTTAAATTAAGTGTTTAACAACTCCTTTAATGTTCAAGTGCTAAAAAATTTATACTAATCATCTCTATCAAGCTACTACTAAAAAAACAGCCATAATTCTATGACATTTAAGGTTAGAAGCTATCTCAACAGATCTCTAAGGCCTATTCCTCTCATTTTACCAGTGAGAAGTTGATGCCCAGAGGGACCAAGCAAATGGCCCTAAGTCAGGGACATAAGCCGAGCCTGGAGCTGGCACTGCCTTGCTGACTACTCAACTGCTTAACCAGTCAGTAAGACCACAAACCTACATGCAGGTCAGAGGGAAAACAAGACAGATTCAAAAATACAGCCACCTTCCTTCATGCCCTGATTTTCCACTGTTGGAGCTCTACACCAAGGTTTTCTCACAGTCTGAACAAAGAAAACACAAACCTTCTCACTGATGGGGTTCTTGGCAGCTCATGACCTGGTAGGGACATGTAAACAACCAGCTGTCCTCACAGCCACCAAATTAAACAGGTAACTAACTAGAGCCACAGATCTAGTAAGTGCACTGCAGGGCCAACAGTCAAAACAGGTCTGATTTTGAAGTCTGTTCTTTCCAATACAATGCTCTCAAGATACAGCAATTAACTAAAAACCAAGTAAATCTAATGCTACAACTTACACTCACCTTGCCCTTAGGCAACTAAAACTTACCTTTAAACAGCTAAAAATTACAACATCAATGTGGATATGGTGCTAGTTTACAGCTCAAAATAACGTATTAAAATCTACCTTCCACAGGACACTCGAACGGCTTTGTGCCCAGGTGGGTGATGCTGTGGCCTTTCAGATGCTCTGCTCTCGTGAATGACTTCCCACAGCCTTCCACGGGGCAGATAAACCTCCGATCATCATCGTGTTTCCTGCCAGGACAGAAAAACATGACACGGATTACTCACATAACCCAGAGGCACCAGGCCTCAAAGGTGATTCTTTGTTTAAAATTCTGCAAAATATACCAAACTACAAATGCTTTGCATTTAAAAAAAAAACTTTTATCAGTACATTTCAGAGAACCTTAATTGTGTCTCTAGCCCACACGGGCAGATTTGCAATTTAGCCACCCTGTAATTAGAAATTCTACTTTAATGACCTAGCCAACCCCAGAATCAGACACAGAAAAATCAGTGCTGCTTCAATCTAGAAAGAGCTGAGTCTCAATGTACTGATAAAGCTACCTCCAGTTTAAGAATCCCAATAATAAACAAGCTTCCCAATCCACAGAGGGCAACAAGAAGTGTGCACAGAAAATCCACTAAAAGGCGAAAGAACCTTCTCAAGCCCATGCATAAACACTGTCTTTTTCTGAGTAACATTTGTATATTAAACACTCAAACTTCAGCTATGCAAGCATGGACAAACTGCCCAACCTCTTGAGTCCCACTGCAAAACAGAGAGTAAGAACATCAGAGTCAGAGTTCTTGGGAAGATTACATGAAATACACAGAAGTGCTGAACAGCACCTTCTTATAGGCTAAGCCCTCCAAGGTCGTCATTATCACCATGGAAAGTTTGTATTGACATGAGGAAAGCTTATTCCACACCATAATTTTCTTAAAAGTATAGAATTGTACACAACAGGTACCAATTAAATTTAAAAACAAGTATACAAAGAAAAAAACTTTGGGTGACTTTGGGTGATCAGGGTTCTCAGTGTTTTCCTTCTTAAAGCTTTCTGAACTTCCAAATTATCTACACTGGGCTTTCCTTATAACTTAAAGAAATCTGAGATAGTTTATCCATAGGCTTCTGCTACTAAGAAATAATTCATTCATTTTCAAAACTTGTAATTCAACCAAAATGTATAAATTACCTTTTGTGCCTCAGGAGTTTAGACATGCTGGTAAAGGTCCAGCCACAACTGTCAGAGTCACAAATAAAAGGTCTTTCACCTTAGAAAAGAAAAAGTTACACCAAGTAATTATAAATACAAGCTTCTACAAAGACAGATCTTGGATCCAAATTACATTGCATTCCCTAGCTCATTACCTGTATGACTTCTCAGATGAATTTTCAGGCGACAGGCTTTGTCATACTGTTTGCTGCAACCAGGAAAGGAGCAGGAAAAGAGTTCCTGTTCTCTGAAGTGGGCTCGGTTATGGGAAAACAGAGCACTCACCGTGATGAAGGTCTTCTCACAGCCTGAACAAAGAAAACACAAACCTGCTCACTGGTGTGGCAAAAATCACAGAAGACAGCCACACTAGCCACCATCCAGGACACTGCTGGCACTGAAGCAGACAAGGGAAAAAATGATTCAGAAGCACCTCTGTAAAGTTACTACCATTGACATCTGGCTTTGCAGTAGCTAAAGTAGGATTGGCTAAGGGTAGCCAACAAGCACACGAAAGCCACCTGTTTTAAAATGACTTAGAGATGAAGGATCTGATCAAGGGAAAGTCCTCCAATTGCAGCCATCTGCTCCATTCTGTGGCACAGGTCTTGCATACATTTTGAGAACTCAAATGTCAATGCTGTCGGTGTGAGATCCAAGAAAATCCAATGGGAGAAATTACATACTAAGGAACAAGATTTTGTCTGTTAGGGTTGGGCTTGGAAGGGCCACAAACCATCGTAATATCTGAGACTTTCAAGCCCTTGGGGTGATGCTGCATCCTCTACACATATAATGTCATCCCTGATATCCTCTGCAACAGGCAGCCCCCACCTGTCATCTGGCTTCTCTTTCTCCTTTTGCCCATTTCCTCAAGGCTCCCTACTTTGTCAAAGGAGGTTACTGGGGTCATCTTCATTCACATGGTCTTTCCCATCACCTCCATCCTCAGCCCCCAGTTGAGCCACCATCCACAGGAGCCTGCCTGAGCAACTCCCAGACTTTCCACACCAATTGTTATCCTCTGACAAAAACATCCAGTGCTCAAATAGGGTGGAAAATATCAGGCTGCAAGATGCCTATCAAGTGTCTTCATAGCCGCTCTTCTCAGAGCCTTTAACATGCTACCACAGTGCCTGTAAGCCACCCAGCAGATACAAGCTGCATAGCACCACACAAAAGTACTGGCCCAAAGAAACCTGTCCCTGGCAACACTGAACTGGGAAAATCGACCTCTCTAAATGCCCTAAAATCATACTCTTTGCCATAAATCTACTCTTCCTCCCTTCCCTTCCTTTCCCTGTTTTGGGCTTTGGTGAAGTCATACACTTGTTCAGATAAATCGAAGCATGCTAAATCTGTGCCTCCATAGAACAAACCCCCATCGACAAACCAGCCCTTTATTCTGCCTCTGCATCTGGCGCCCCCTCACCATTCCACTGCCACTGCCTCTGCCTCGGGCAGCCCTAAGTTAACTCAACCTGGAACATTTCTTGGGACTTCACTGATTCCTCTCCTGCTTCTACCCCATCTCAAACACTGACACCCCACAGATCATTGAGCTCAAAACTTCAGGAAGACCTCCCGGCCCAACGCAGGCTAGACCCCTGATTTTCCTAGTAGTATACGCAGAATCATGCCCTCTGTGCAATCTTTAAGCCACAGTAGATTCCCAGAGTGTATGACAGAAAAAGGTTTCCAATCAGTGGCCTGAAGCCACGTCCTCCAGGAAGAGGGCCACATGAAACCACCTACAGCACATGGAAGGGAAACTCTAGAACCTGCTGGCATTTTGCATTTCACTCTTTCAAGCTCTCTATACTTGAGTATATTTTATATTTTACATTAGGAGAGCATCGAATGTGTGATACATGTCAACACACCCATGGGACTCACGCTAGGTGCGTGCTTGCCTTTCTGCTTTAATGAGTTGGTGGTGGAAGGTCCTTCACCCTCTGCCTGGCCCTCCCACACCCTCCCCACAGCCCACAGGCCCTGCCTCGGTTCTGCAGCTTTTCCCACCAGCAACGCCTCCTACCCTACTTCCCCAGGCCAGCTCCTTCCCAGGAAGGAATTTTCTCTTCCCTGGGGCACTTTCTTTCTCAGAGCACCTACACCGCCAAAGAATTCAAGGTATGGAAGCCTTATCTCCCCGCCCCTGCAGGCAATCACTGTGGACAAAGAACCACCACCAGATTTCTCTTCCACCTTGCTAGGCCTCAGTCACTTCATCTGTCACAGGAGGATAATTTTAAGAACTTGACAAAACTGTGAAGTCCAAAGAATAGTATAAAAGGCACAGAATCGCCCTAACTGGTTTGGCTCAATGGATAGAGCGTCAGTGGATAGAGCATCGGCCTGCGGACTGAAGGGTCCCAGGTTTGATTCCAGTCAAGGGCATGTACCTTGGTTGCAGGCACATCCCCATCAGGGGGTGTGCAGGAGGCAGCTGATCAATGTTTCTCTCTCATCGATGTTTCTAACTCTCTATCCCTCTGCCTTCCTCTCTGTAAAGAATCAATAATATGTGTGTGTGTGTGTGTGTGTGTGTGTGTGTGTGTGTGTTTTTAAGGCACAGAATCTGTGCTACACCATCTTAAGGCCTTACATCTGGACGGCTCCACCAGTTGGTGTGCCCCACCAATATCTGCGGAGTGAATGTTTCTAAATGAGGAGACAGAGGGAAACAAAGACCTGTCTCCTAACAAAACTCCGGGAAGACGCGTTCTCTCTTTCACTAACCAGAAGCACCTTCAGAGCCATCTGCTGCCGCCACCCTGGGGAAGGACAACTGTGGTCACCTGTGCCAGCTCGCGGTCCTGATCCCCACGGCCAGGCAGGGGGTCAGGTGCCCTGGGAACAGCTAGGACACACACACCCGGCACAGG